GAACCGGTCAGTTAATTTGGTGATATTTCATGGAATGTTCTTGAATACTGCAAAAGACAGCTTTATTCTGCATTAATAGACATTGTAAGTACAGAGTCAAAATGAGTTTTATTTAAAAAACATCTATTCATTACGTTGTCATTGAAAAACAGAAAAGTAATAACATGAAATTTAAAAGCAGACAATTTGTTAGTCTCATTACACAGTTGCAATTTATGATACAGATAAACATCCCACAGGTCGTTCACTATCAGATAAAAGCGCTCACGCGGGAGAACAGATATCTCCTATAAAAAGACTACCACTGCAAAGCGTGGTTCACGTGCAAATACGGGAGACGATGTGAATTTCAACGCCAGATGTAATTGACAATGACAAGGAGCTGTCAAATCTGAGCTGGAAGTCATCCCATGCCCAAAGAAATAGTTTCCCTTGAATTGGCCTTTACGTTACATCGGCATTATCCTAGCCATACAGCATCGATAATAAGTTTGCATGAATAAACATTGTAAGTACAGATAAGAGTCAGATATGAGTTTTGTTTCAATTTTTGTTTTGAATGGGTGTTTAACAAATGCACTATATACACATAAATCTATGGGTTTTTTTTCACAAGAGCAGTATATGCACATACGTGTATGCGTCAGATAGCTAGGGTCATGGTGATACCAGAGCTCTAATCGTTTGGACCGTAGACCCAAGGATGGCGGAGCTACCCGATGTTAAAGAGAGAACTATATCTTCTATGGGAACTATTTAAAAGGTACATGACCCCGCGACCCCGGCTGCATTTCACCGATCCGCTCTCGTCTCAAAAACATGTTTAGCCTGCGTTTTGGACGCTTTCTAGCACTTCAATACACTTCAACACCCGTAACTCCGAGGGTTAAAATGAACGGTCCAGCTGGCGTCCAAAGCAACAGTACAAGTGAAGGTAGCCACGGGGGTGTATAGGGGAAGTCTGAAGACCGTCAGAATTGCCCAGGAGGCAATCCTAGTTACTGATTATCATTACACTTACACAGCATGGTAAGTTCTTTTGGAGACGAAAGGCAATTACCAAAGACAACAGTGAGTGAGTGAGTTAAAATTTAACGTCACCTCGGAAATATCACTGCCATATAGTGCCGAGAAAGGTTTTACGTACACAATAAATAGAAGTTACTAAATAATCAGTCATTGACGGACTGTAAAATAACTAGAGTATCACAGATGGAATCTAATACTAGCTTGTAAATGTAAAACTACTTTATTCACGAAGACAATACAATATAAAAACAGGCTATAGGTCGCCAACAACTGAAGGTAGATCACCATACTAGGGACCATGGGGACTTACCCAAAGACAACAGAATGCCCAATGCTACACCCTCATGTGTATAGCAAAAACGTTGATAGGGAGGCCTCTTGAATTGTATGTTTAACATTTTTAATTTCTTTAGTTTCTGTTTTGATACAGGAACAGCGCCTACAAGCTGGACGTTTGTCAAGAGTGATACATATCTTCGTTTACCTTTGTTATATCGTGGAATATCTCTCATTTCTGTGCCATGTAAAATATATTGTGAAATCTTAAATCAGTATCCAAGTGGCTAGACTCAAGTAACTTGCTATATCGGATGCTCAGAATGGTTGTAGGAAGTGTCAACGCGTAGATACGTGTCGACTGGGGAATTAGCTCATGTTTAAGATGAGGTGTACGTACAATACGTTGACAAGACGAAGGAATACATTGAGCTCAAAATTCTTTAGTTACATGACAAACAAATACACAAGACATAAATGTGGCGAGCGGAGTACCTGCTCAACCCCAGGGCGTTTCCTACGAGCGGCATTACCCTGCTTGTGATCGTCCCTACATACAGACAGTTGGCATCCCGGACTCGTACCCTTCACCGTCTAGATGTGAGCATACTAAGTATATGTACAGTTTTGACAACAATGGACAGGCGACGACTCATCAATGGACAGACAGAAAAACAATAGCACTTCCTTGACCAGTTGATGTGATGGCAGACACGGCCAAAGGGGATTACCAATTAAGGTTATAAATGTCTTATACAATAAATAATAGGCTGACAAGTCAATGTACAATGCGGTAGTGGTAAGTATGTACAGTAGTGATTAAGAATACAGGTTAGCGTCATATATATTTTACAATAAAGTCTCACATGTCTTAAGTACATAGTTTTGGGCTTTTTAAATATTTGGACGATGGCTGTCCTGAATTAGTCACTATAACAGAAGGATAGAAGCTCCTTCGATCACATATACTCTCTGCATACCATACAGAAGTCGCGGTTTGACTCTATGTGTGGAAGTTTTACATGTTGTATTGATCTATAGAAGGCTTTCGACAATGTGGACAGGAACTGCCTCTTGTTGAAGCTACGGAAAGCTGGTATTGGCGGGAAGAAATTTGCCCCGATGTAGTCTCTAAACCAGAACACGACCAGTACTGTTGGAATCAACAAATACCTTACCCCACTTTTTTTTTACCGTTAACACTGGTGTGAAGCAGGTTGCATGATGTCACCAACTCTATTCTCCCTGTACATAAATGACCTGGATCAAGAGATCGACGATCTTACAGATTGTGTTGTTGTAGATGATATGTTTATTTCAATTTTACTATATATGCTGATGATATTGTTGTAATCGCCCCCACAAGGGAAAAGTGTTAGAGAATGCTGAACGTTGTTACAAGTTGGTGTTATATAAGTGGAGACTCTCTATTAATATTGATAAATCTAAGATTGTGCATGTCAGGAAGGAAGGGATTGCTCGTTCACTTGTTCAGTTCAGCTGTTGTACCATGAGTCTTAACTACGTGGATTCTTACAAGTACTGTGGTTCCACGAACATTTGAATTTGAAATATTCTGTGAAGGAAATCAGCAGATTACAACACAAAGCCCGTCCAGGTGTGCAAAAAAGGATGGAGACGGCACAGCACATGTTAATGAATCAATGACTTTGTCGGCACTTCTGCACGTGCTTCGCGTACACCTGGCTGTTCCTCCCTTTGCAGTCCTCCCTCGTAACAAATAGTGAACTGTGTACAAATTTTAATGATAGTTAGTTAAACAACTTTTTTATTTTTAGGTCATAAATTCTGAAGATAAATCACAGAGTTGGTCTGATGTTATTATTATGATCAGTGTTTCATTGAGTATTCTATGTTTAGTAGTTTTCGAGTTAGATTGCAATTCATCGGTCCGATTTTGAGCCAAAAGGACGATAATTATAGTCAGTATTGTGGGTTAGGCCTCACTTTTAGATTTGGAGATTTTACGCGCGCTTTCCGACATAAAGCGTTCTTAGCCCACGGGCCCGCCAGGATATTTAGTGTTTGATCGAAAGAGGGGTGATTCCCCACGCATCCCAAGGCGGGATAGTTCTGCCGAAATGCCAACAGGCGAAGGCGACCTCCAAAGCACATAACTGAAGAAGAAGAAGAGGGGTGATTTGACCGAAAGATATGGCATCCGGAAGGAGGCCTTACGGTTGCATAATTTTTGTGTGAATTTTGAATTTTGAATTTTGACAGAAGTGTTAGGGGGTGGTTTGTTTGGTATTTTGTTTTCTTTTTCTCTTTTGTTTCATGTCAAGTGTTGTTTTTAAAAAATTATATTTGTACCAGTAGGTTATGTGGGGTCAACCTAGAAGGCAGGTTTGAATTAGGAATATACTCATGGCTTTGAAGGCGTGGGTGTTACTTATACTAAGAGTTATCTCCCATTTGACAGACACCCATTTGACAGACACCCAGTTGGCAGACACTCAGCAAGAAGGTTAATTAGGGTAACACCTACGGGTATAATGGAACAGTCCACAGTCTAGTGAGTGGAGGAGGCTGAGGTTCGTTATTGAGAAGCTTGGTTTGGTTGAGTGTAAATAAAACTTTGTTGTGATTAAATGATAATCTGTTTTCTCTTCTCGAAGTTGTTTTTACTATCAATTACTATCGAATAGAGGTTTGTCACTGTGTTTACACAGAACTTGGTCGCCGATTAATGATAATCTGTCTTCTCTCCTCACTTTGTTTTTAGTAAAAATTGATCTTTGTATGAGGAAAGATCTTAAGAGAGTTTTACATCTGTTTTTAAAAACAAGGATTAATTAATTAATTTTATCAATAGACTAATTTTAAATTTGACTCAACAAATATATAAAATGGTGAAAAGCATATCTGTTCGATATCAATATGGCTGGAGTGCGGAGAGTTGAGTATCTGTTGTCACAGAGAGGGGACCCTCAAATTGTTCTGGATGGTTATGTTTACACCAGAAATAAGGTCAGACAGACCTGCACCCTCTGGAGATGCATCGTCAAGACCTGCACGGGGAGGTGTTCAACTGTCGGAGACTTCCTTCGAACACAGACAGAGAACAACCATGCACCAGCTGACGGCTCCAAGCAAAAGTTTGTCAGTGAACTGCGCAAGCGAGCTAGAGAGGAGACAACACAGATGCAGACCTTGTACACAGAGCAGCTGTCAGTAGAGGAGGAAGACAACCTACACGTTCTTCCATCTTTCACCAGCGTCAGCAGTTCTCTGTACAGACACCGCCACAAGACCATGCCAGCGTTACCTACCACCCTCCGAGAAGTGGATTTGGAAGACAGTTGGACAGAGACAAGTGATGGACGTCGTTTCCTTCTTCTTTCTGATGGAGAACAAGACAAGATCATATAGTGTTTTCATCAGGAGAGCAGCTGCCCTTGCCTTATTGCCACAAGATCAGGGTCAAGACACCTGGATTGATGCCATGGACTCCTCCCTAGCCTCTGACCGCATTGAGGACTTCAAGGATTACATGGTCGTCACATGGGTGGACTATGACGCCCGATTCCCACTGTCACTTTGGAACCATCACAACACTGTAGGACCAAGGACCAACAACAACTTGGAAGGTTTCCACAGTCGGATGAACAGATCTCTTCCACACCGCCACCCCAACATATTTCGCTTTGTGGAAGTAATTCGGGAGCATCGAGATGGCTGACAGAGCCAAGCTGAGACAACTCGACTTTGGGGCTGCTCCTCCAAGTCGGAGGAGCAAGCGAGTCTACAGAGAGATCGACAACAGGATCCTGAGGCTCAATGACACACTGAGTCGCGGCGAGAAAACTCCTCTTCAGTTCCTAGATGCGGTGGCCAACCTCATAAAACTTGGCTAACAAGACATGAACTTTACTGGACTTGCTATAACTAAGCTTTAATTAGATCTATAAATACAGAAAAATATTGCTATGTCAAAGATATATCTACTTGAAGCTACTGTGCTACTATTATGCATTGTTTTTTGAAAAATATTATATTCTTGTTATCAAATAAATATTAGATTTTTTTTCTTGTGTTTTTATTTGGACTATTCCATTATAATGTGTAGGTAACAGGTAGTTGCTCATCTGTTCATTGAACCGTAAATGTTGTTGTTTTAAGGTGTCTGCGAACTGGCTGTCTGCGGAATGGGAGGACACCATACTAAGACTGTAAGTTGACACGTGAAATACAAAGGACGTTGCTGCAATACACCATCAGAAGTGTGCAACTTGTGGGCTATCTATCTATCACCTACTGAACGGTCGGAGTTTGATAACGACTTTCGTACTAAGACGGACTCTAGAATAAACCGCATCTCAAAGATACCACTACTAGATGATGATACTGTTCTCGGACATTGAAATAGGTGAACTAAAACGTTGAAAACAATGCTTACAAAAGAGATAATCACCAGGACCGGACCCAATGACATTTATTTTACTAGCGATGTGCTCTTAAAAGATTTAACGGAGTTCTTGAACATGATGATACGTACCTGCTATACACCCCTGTTAAGTATCAGCATCTGGCATAAAAGGAGCACGAGATCTTGTGCTAAGAGAAACAACTTGAACTCCCTCAGAGATATTGGGCTGAGACCTGGTGGTCTAAACCCGGTCTGTTGTATAAACATAAGTGTAATAATTTCATGTGCCTTCTGTGCGAGTGAACTGTGGTCAAATATGCCCCGGACAGAAACAAATAACATTTGACATATTCAAGACTGTGAACTATGACAAAATGGAGCTGAAGTTTCTTGGAAGCTAATGCAGAAGCAATAACAGATATGCCTTTAAAAATGCATTCTGTTCAAGTGTGCTCAATATGTAACAGACAGTTACAAAAGTGAGTCTGTAACACATGATCTGCTTAATGTAGCAAGGAAATATCAATTATGGAATACAATTGATCACATTATGAAAACTAACCAGTTTCCACCCAAGGAGGCGTGGAACAAAACTATATGGACCAAGATAACAGAACATAAACGCTCGTTGGTGCACATGCCCGCTGGATTGCCCTCAATTGAACAGATTCTATAGATTCCCCGGTAAACTTGTACCACATTGACTTTGGAATGTGTGTATTTTATACAATATTCCAATCAGACATGTGTATGCACTTGTAAAACTAGGAATGCTACCAATAACATCTGGACAGTGTTTAATATGTGACGCAGAGTGCAATGATATAATAGAACACCAATTATATTGTACAGCATTAGCTTTTTGCAAGGAACACCCTTTATGTGCATCTATTTAACACACCAATTCTCGAACAGTACATGTGGATTGAAGACTGTGCATTAGGATGACTTTACCGGGCAGTATAACATTTGTTGTAGACTGACCGACTGAGTTTAGTTTTACGCCGCTTTTAGCAATATTCCAGCAATATCATGGCGGGGGACTCCAGAAATGGGCTTTACACATTGTGCCCATGTGGGGAATCGAACCCGGGTCTTCGGCGTGACGAGCCAACGCTTTAATCACAAGGCTACCCTACCGCCCCTTGGTGTAGAGAATATGAGCCTTGACAGTTGGGATAAATTGAATTCATATCACGTGTAAGCTCCTGGGCCTAGATTTTCGAAGCTCTCTTAGCGGTAAGATAGTCGTAAGTTAATTTAATGTATGGCACTTACGACTATCTTATCGCTAAGAGAGCTTCGGAAATCTAGGCCCTGGCCTAGAACCTACAGTCACTGATTTATCTATAGGTAGTGACTTATCACCAAGATCATGTAAATATATGGTTTGTGAATTTCTCTATATAATGTAAATATGTTTGTATTGAAGAATATCGAATGTATGTCACTCTCCGAAGTTATTTAAGGAAACTTTAATAAAGATGATTCGTTCATTCATTTACGACGTGTACAAGAACTAGAATTGGCTGCAACGAATCCACTATATACACAAGCCGAATGTGATGCACATCACGAATACTGGGTCACAGATACAATTGCAAGTCAGCAGTAGATGTATCAATCATTACCCAGCTAACAATTTCACGTTATTTGATGCTGTTTTTTACGTTGTCTTAATGGTCTAATTAACGTGGTCCAGACACGATTATTTACAGACCGCCGCCATATAGCAGGAATATTGCTGAGTGCGGCGTAAAACTCAACTCACTCACTCTAATAAACGTTAATGGTGAGGTGAAATTGGGTTTAACGTCGTGCTTGAGAATATTTCGCTCATATGACGACGTGCATGCGTGTGTAAGTGTATGTGCACGCGGTCGGGGATCGAACCCGCGACCTTCCGCTCTCCGGGCGAACGCTCTAACCACTACACCACGGAGGCGGTCTTAACGTTAATAGCGGTCGGGGATCGAACCCGCGACCTTCCGCTCTCCGGGCGAACGCTCTAACCACTACACCACGGAGGCGGTCTTAATGTTAATAGTTGAATAGTTTCCCCAGTACTGAACAGTACAAATGAAATAAAGTAGAAATTAACTTCAATATGTATTCATCAATTTGCACGCTGTATTGGTCTTGTGTTTTCAGAAGCTTTTATCTAAATAGTGAAGACAGCATCTCAAGGTGAAATGTTTTTCCAAAACCTTTACCGCGACTCCAAGTTATAAGAAACGTTGTTATAACGTTGTGGGGAGCCCAAAGCATAACGTTTCCTCAACGTAAACTTGCAACGTTGTTACATTATGTTGTGATAACGTTATAAAATGACGTAATACTAACGTTGTAACAACGTTGTGTCATGACGTTACCAATCTACTACATGTACCTTCTCACAACGTTGCAAAACATTGTGTGTTAGCTGGGTATAGAACATAAGATAAGTGCAAACTAAACCTTTTTTTGACCCGGTTACAATATTAATTTGTCAGGACAATGACCATTGGCCACGTTACAGTACAATTTATGACTGTCATCATGATTATCCTGCCTGGCTTGTATATATTCCGTGTTGCTCAGAAGTTGTTTAATCAAGGTTACAAAAGTCAAGGCCTCAGTAGCGCTTTCAAGAAGTTTTATGGTAGACACGTGGAGGAAATTTCCAAGTTTGATGCATCACTGACAAAAATGATGACCGATGCAATTCCCTCTCTTGACTTATACCATACGTTCCCGAATTATTTCAGGTGAACAAATGACCAGACTTAGCATGTTTATGACGGGTGCCACCGGTGGGGCAGGATACGCTCACCTTTTCGCGAACACCTGGTATCATCACTATGTCATAAACACATCCTCTGTCATAGTATCGCATGGTGACAATCACTGGATTATCTGGTTCAGACCCGAATTGTTTACAAACAACATCATACAGCTGTAATACTGCTGAAACAAATATCTGCACATGATATAGTCACAACTGTACAATCGACTCTGCTTTTGGCAAAGATTTTGGGAAGATTTTGTCGCCTCTATTTGATAAATAACACCTTACAATCAAGCAACAATACACTTTTTATGCACGAGTGAACCTGAACAGCTCTATACTAAATGTACTGAAATAAGGCTTCCATTCTGCACAATGTTCATGTTTGGTTCACTCCATTCTAGACGAAGCCTATTGACATGTGTGGCCTATATGTGATGCCTTCTATTCCAGGCCAATCAACACTGTGTATGATCTATTCACGGATGGAGGGGCAACGCTGACAGTCAACAATGTATCTTAGAAGGTCTTCAAGACGTTGGTACCTGTTTTTGGGAGTTATTCTGCTCGCCTTAATGTGTTTTATGGTCAATTTCGGTAAGTTGGTTTTACATCTTTTACAAAGAGAATTTATAAGATGTTTTGACATGTGAACTAAATTGGTCGAAGAGCCAGTTATCATCAGTTCCTGTTGGTTACTGGTTACAGATGTTTTAACATTTTCCAGAAATTCACATGTTGAAGTGTCTGTTAAACAGTGTTTAAAAATGTTTTGTTTTAAATGAAAATGACAATAGGCATATGGAGTAACATTCTTCAGCAATAATGAATGCGGACACCCACCACTGTTAACAATTGATAGTTATATTAAGTACTGACTATAGTTAATGATTGATCATTGTTTTTCTATGAGTAGTCAAGAACCAGACTAGGTCCTAAGTGCCCTGCAAATTATATGGCGTTTTCTTATCTGGGTAAAACTTGAGAGGTACTTCTTTTGTCCTGCATTGAATACCAGGTAACCCTGAAGATCTGGGTTAGAATTGGTCTTCAGATATTGTGATGTATCATTCATTATATTCAGTGAAACAACAGCAAAATATATTCTTTGACCTCTCTTTGACTATGTTAGCAATGTTAATTAATCACAACCACACATTAGGAGTGTTGACTATTAGTTTGCCTGGTTTGGATGTTTTACAATAGATATTTATCACTTTGATAAATGACAAATCCTTTGGTGAGCAAAATCCATAAATATTCGATACTCAGTGATCTTCGTGAATAACAAATTGAATTTTGAAGGGAGTGGTGAGGTGAGTAAATTTAGTTTTACGCCGCACTCAGCAATATTCCAGATATATGGCGGCGGTCTGTAAGTAATCGAGTCTGGGCAAGACAATCCAGTGATCAACAGCATGAGCATCGATCTGCGCAATTGGGAACCGATGACATGTGTCAACCAAGTCAGCGAGCCTGACCACCCGATCCCGTTAGTCGCCTCTTACGACAAACATACGTTACTGAAGATCAATATTCTAACCCGGATCTTCACGGGTAATGTTTGAAGGGATATGCAAGAGAATCGTAACATACCTTTCAGACATGTGTACCAAATTGTGTGTTTATCCAGGCAGACAACACTCTTGTGTGCATTATCAGTGTCTTAAACTAATGCAAGAATCCTTCTTTGTTTCAGGTTTGTTGGAAAATGCCTCGGCTGGAACTAGAGAACAAATGGAAGAGAACGACAGCACTCGAGTGTTTGATAAGCCAATGCCTGTCATCACCTGCATAACGCCTACGTACTATCGCGGTGTGCAGAAAGCTTAATTGACCAGGTTGTCGCAGACTTTTCTTCACTTGCCAAGTTTTCATTGGATAGTGATAGAGATTCATCATTAAAAACAAAACTGGTCACCAACGTCTTGAGCCAGTCTGGGTTGTCGTACACACTTAAACTTTCTCACAGAGCGGGAGAGATGGCAAGAGGTTAAAAATAAAAGGTGTATCACAGAGAAATGCGGGGTTGTCATGGTTACGAAAACCCTGGATCCTGAAATACAGCCTGGTGTTGTGTATTTTGCTGATGATGACAATACGTATGATCTGAAGATATTTGCACAGGTATGTAATGGAGGGTATAGAGTGGACTTCGATTTCAGTGTGATCAGGTTTACAGTCCTTAGGTAGGGAGTTGTAGACTAATGCCTTGTCTATATACATGTATATATTTATTATTATATTTTTTAAAATTTATTTTTATTTATTTTTGTGTGTGATTGAAACAAATAATTCCATTAGAATTGAAAAGAAGCCCCAGTGAGATGGAGATTTGGAATCAGGAAATCTAGACTTGCTTCTTTCTAGCATTGGCTGAAATAATGTGGTTCAGAAACTGTGACTGTGAGGATAAACAGACAGACTATAAGAGTTGTTACATGTGAATTTGCTTTTAGTTTGTTGTAGAAACATGTATCTTCACGAGTGCACATTATGTTCTATCCTATTTGGGCATCTTCATTATTACAAATAAGTATTAACAGTTTTCAAAACTGGGACTCTTTAGAATAAGATCAGGTGTTGAAGTGGGACAATATTACAGATGGTCAGAATCAAGGGGTTTGGGACTGGGAATTTTATGAGATGGGGTATGCATGGGAAATTGATCAGGTTTACTGTCCTAAGTAGGAGTTGCAGACTCAATGCCTTGAGTTCTGAATGGACATATATATACACGTATATAGTTTTGATTGAAAACAAATAGTTCCATTCAAATTGAAAAAGAAGCCCCAACTTGAGATGGGTCATTCAGAACTTGAGGAAACCTAGACTTGCTGATTTTAGGGCGTTTGCATTGCAGAAAGGGCAATCCGGAAATGGAAAATAATAAGGTTCAAGGACTGTGAGACCAAGAGTATAGAAGTTACATGGTACGTACAGAATTTGCTCAGTTTGTTGTAGAACAATGAATCCTTACAATAGCACATTGTTATCCATCCCCCTCATTATTAATACTTCTATACAAGTATTGATGTTCTTTGAATTTCTATATGGGCTATTTAAAGAGAATAGGATCAGGTGTTGAAGTAAGACAAAAGTAAATATTATTACACATGGTCCAGAGTGAGTGTATATGGTTTTACCGCTTTTAGTAATATTCCAGCAATATCACGGCGGGGGACAAGAAATGGGCTTCACACATTGTACCCATGTAGGGAATCGAACCCGGGTCTTCGGTTGAGGAGCGGCTACCCTTACGGGATGGCCTAAAACTCAGGGCCAAGGCCGGGCCAAGGCGGGCGAACTATATTATTGGCTAATAAATCCATTATCGAAAACCATGCCCACAATTAATTAATCAACATACACCCATGACAATTAGACTAACAACTAGTCTCTGAAATGAACATATTTTACTGAAAAAAAATTCAGAGTAAAAAAAAAAAAATAAATATATATACCTCGAAAAGGAGACCCTGAGACTTTCTTCATTTTCAGAAGCTGAGAAATCTAGACTTGCCACATTTATTGGTACAGTACAGTGCATTGATGTAGTAATACTATAATATTTATACAATGTTATGATTGGCCTAAATTGTATTGTACATGTTTTTAAATGTGCGAGTGTGTACCTGTCACTCCTTGAGAGACTCTCATTTCTTGTATGCAGGTACACCGTCACTTCATCCATCACACAAATAAAGATTGTTATAGTTGGCCCTGGTCATTCTTTGTCTATCTCGCATCGTCCAGAGACCGAACTATATACCCCTGGACCACGGTCTCAATAGCACAGACATCGTCTTCGTCACCGAGCATTGGCTCAATGAACACAATTCATCATTCGTGAACGGAATTCATGACGATTTCGATGTCTACTGTAAGTGTAGCTGTGACGCAACAACCCACCACAGAGGCTCAGGCGGCATATGTGTTTTTGTACGTAAAGGTGACTGGTGCAGAGTGTCAATACTAGATACGCCCGAGAGTGATCAGGTGCTAGGTGTAAGTCTAGAACATAGCAGTAGTATTACCTACGTTATTGGCACAAGACTACCTTCCACAAATGTCCTGGATAGTGTTTATATCGACCAACTCCATTATGTGATGAACCTATATGATATATAATTCACAGTATGGTCAAAGTACATACTCACTGGAGACTTTAACACAGACATTAGGCACTTTGTTGCCTAAGAGGACTCGATCTCACTGTCTCCAGAGAGTACTTGACGAACGCGACCTGTATTCAGTCGTGCCCATAGACGATAAATGTAAATATACGTTCTCAACCAAAGTGCAAGTACGAGAACAATGATAGACTATGTATTTATAAACAATGACTATATCCACAACGTTATAGGCTACACCATTGATACCAACATATCATACAATGTGTCTGATCACTTACCCATTCATGTATGTGTTGTAAATTGATTATCCATGCGTGTCTTATGGTGGGTCTAGGCTCAGCTGGAGAAAGGCATCTGATGTCGACCGCATGATCTTTTCGTTTGAAACTGAAAACTACTTTCGTTACGATATACACGACCTTTCCTCATTCCTCGTCCCATGCCGAGTAGTATATTGAAATGTACAATCAGCACATAACTGATATTCTACATGCATGTGCGTCTATAAGTATCCCGTCATCAAGGTTTCAACCATTTCTGAAACCATATTGGAAAGCAGAAAATCTAAATAAACTGCATGATGATATGCGCAATAGAAGGAAATTCTGGTCGAGAATGGGAAAGTACATGACAGAAATAATGTGTACTACGCTTAGATACAAAGAAGCTAAACGTATCTTTAGAAAAAAGACACCGTCAGTGTAAACAAAGTCTCATAGATGATAGACTGAAAGAAATCCATCAAGCAGCGGAAATAGACGTACATGAATATTTTAAGCTTACAAAAAGGTATAAACGAGCTACAGGTCTAGTAACGAGTATAGTATACAAAAATCATTGCAGGCAATAATGCAGAAAATATCTGTAACACTTTTGGTCGGTACTTCAAGGATCTATCTGTACCAAACTTGGAAAGTAGCTTTGATAATCACTTTGCTGGAGAAATCGAGCGGTCAATATCAAATATTGAATGTATTGAGAAAAGTAAAATATATGTGAAAGAGACATGTATTCACCGCTGAATGAACTATTCAATCTCAGCGAGATTATAGCCTGTCGTCCAAAGGCTAAAAAGTAACAAAGCTCCAGGGCCCGATGGACTCGCTAATGAACATGTCAAGTATGCAGGTAGATCCTCATAAAGCATATCATGACATTGTTCAACAATATCATCATATACGAGTACATCCCACAAGCTTTTAATGTTGGCTATATTCTGCCCCTGCATAAAGGCCACGGTAAAAGTAAACTCGACCCCTCCAACTACAGGGGAATAACATTAACGTCGATTCTCAGCAAACTGTTTGAAAGATTGCTCCTTAACAGAATTGAAAAGTGGACAGCTGAGAATATAACGTTTCCCCAACTTCCAGTTTGGCTTTAGAAAAGACTTTAGTGCTGAGACAGCAGCTCTCACTCTTGTAGAAAGTATTGCATACTATAACGAAAAGGATTCACCCGTCTACTGTGCTTTCCTTGATAACGAGAAAGCATTTGACCGTGTTTGGCTTGACGGCCTTTTCTACAAACTCTACAATCTTGGAATTACTGGGAAACTCTGGAGGATACTACGCCTATCCTATAGTTCAATGCATTCATGTGTAAGTTTTGCTGGTTTTAAGTCCGATCTATTTCACATTAGACAAGGCGTGGGCCAAGGTCTTGTGCCCAGGAATATTGCTAGCTGATGACACAACGTTGCTCACTAATAATCCAACTGATCTCCAAAGACTGTTGAAGGTGACTGAACTATATGCAAATAAGTGGCAGCTAAAATACAATGTTGGTAAAAGCGCTGCCGTAACCTTTGGACGTAGCAATGCATCCGTACCTGCTAACCTGTATCTTGGAGAAATTAATCTCCCTATTAAATGGTCTGTAGTTTATGCTGGAGTCCATATCAGCACTACTAAGTGTTCTACGGAGAGAACAAAACTTGTCTGTGAAAAGCTACGAAAATTGATAAATATGAACTATGACTCTGGCCTCTACTTTGGCGGTTTTGAATCCTCTAGTAGTAGCTGTACGTATTTGGAATCGTGTGATTCTACCTTGTGGTTTGTATGGATGTACAGTTTGGGGCAAACTGTCCCTTAAAAGAATATGAAATGCTAGAAATCATCCAGCGCTACTTCTGTAAGAAAGTCCAAGGCTTTAATAAGTACATGCCAAATGAAATTGTAGAGATACAGTCGGGATAACATCCCTACAAGGATATATAGATCAACAAAGCCTCTTACTCCTTGGTAAACTCTGTAATGCCAACACAAGATACAGCTTTAAACAAATGTTTTTAGCCCGCCTTGGCCAATGCCACTGTAAAGAACCACTGATATACAAGAATAAGCTTGATATGAAATCACCTGTTTTTAACATGTTACGGCTTGTTTCCAAATACAATCTGCTTAGTGAAATCCGTAACTACATTTGTGATTCTAAGTTTATGAAGAAAAATGCTTGGTCGCAACTAGTCAAAGATAAGGTAACTACATATGATCAAATGCAGTTGGTAAATGTACTACGAACAAGGTTGTCTCTCTCAAGATATCTAACAATAAGATCAGGACGAGAACATAGACTATGGATACTCGCTTTAGAGCGACCTCAGAACTTCACTGACATTGCGAGAATTATAAGGCTTGGTGCAACTCCAATAGAATCAAAGGAATGTCTATGCGGAACAGTTGCTCACGACATTATGAAACATGTTTTTATGTCATGCCAGTATAACTTAGTAGAAAGGAATTCTCTATTTGAAAGAATCTGTGATACTCTTGACATAGACATTTTTGTTAAAATGTGGATGGAAGACGATGATGTATTCCTGTCATTCCTCCTCGGAGGTATACCTGACCACTGTAAGGATGTACTGGATTATAATGTTTGGTCAGAACTGATGGTAATGATTAGTCTCTCTGTTCGCAGTTGGGAGAGCATACTCCGGCAATGCTCATAAATACCTTCAGTTCTTTCACAGTTGAATATTACTGTATAATATAAGTACTAATAATTAGAAAGTTTTCTGTACTGTTGTTTACCATACAAATGTAATCTTCATTTTATGGAGGAAATAAAGAATATCTATCTATCTATCTATTCCGTGTTGCTCAGAAGTTGTTTAATCAAGGTTACAAAAGTCAAGGCCTCAGTAGCGCTTTCAAGAAGTTTTATGGTAGACATGTGGAGGAAATTTCCAAGTTTGATGCATCACTGACAAAAATGATGACCGATGCAATTCCCTCTCTTGACTTATACCATGCGTTCCCGAATTATTTCAGGTGAACAAATGACCAGACTTAGCATGTTTATGACGGGTGCCACCGGTGGGGCAGGATACGCTCACCTTTTCGCGAACACCTGGTATCATCACTATGTCATAAACACATGCTCTGTCATAGTATCGCATGGTGACAATCACTGGATTATCTGGTTCAGACCCGAATTGTTTACAAACAACATCATACAGCTGTAATACTGCTGAAACAAATATCTGCACATGATATAGTCACAACTGTACAATCGACTCTGCTTTTGGCAAAGATTTTGGGAAGATTTTGTCGCCTCTATTTGATAAATAACACCTTACAATCAAGCAACAATACACTTTTTATGCACGAGTGAACCTGAACAGCTCTATACTAAATGTACTGAAATAAGGCTTCCATTCTGCACAATGTTCATGTTTACATCCTGTTCGTGTTTATAATCTGTAGGCACAAAACAGTGTGTTATACCCATAATTATGTTCGTTATATGAATGTTGTATTTTGAAGGAAATGAGTAACTTTCAAGGGTCTTCTCGTTTCAAGATCCTGTTAATAACTCACCTTACATGTCATCTTAAGACATTTTAGAGAATTATCCCTGATATTGTTTGTAGGTTGTTCTAGACGAAGCCTATTGACATGTGTGGCCTATATGTGATGCCTTCTATTCCAGGCCAATCAACACTGTGTATGATCTATTCACGGATGGAGGGGCAACGCTGACAGTCAACAATGTGTCTTAGAAAAGACGTTGGTACCTGTTTTTTTGGGAGTTATTCTGCTCGCCTTAATGTGTTTTATGGTCAATTTCAGTAAGTTGGTTTTACATCTTTTACAAAGAGAATTTATATGATGTTTTGACATGTGAACTAAATTGGTCGAAGAGCCAGTTATCTAGAGTTCCTGTTGGTTACAGATGTTTTAACATTTTCCAGAAATTCACATGTTGAAGTGTCTGTTAAACAGTGTTTAAAAATGTTTTGTTTTAAATGAAAATGACAATAGGCATATGGAGTAACATTCTTCAGCAATAATGAATGGGGACACCCACCACTGTCAACAATTGATAGTTATATTAAGTACTGACTATAGTTAATGATTGGATCATTGTTTTTCTATGAGTAGTCAAGAACAGACTAGGTCCTAAGTGCCCTGCAAATTATATGGCGTTTTTCTTATCTGAGTAACACTTCTTTGTCCTGCATTGAATACCAGGTAACCCGTGAAGATCTGGGTTAGAATTGGTCTTCAGATATTGTGATGTATAATTCATTATATTCAGTGAAACAACAGCAAAAATATATTCTTTGACCTCTTTTTACTATGTTAGCAATGTTAATTAATCACAACTACACATTAGGAGTGTTGACTATTAGTTTGCCTGGTTTGGATGTTTTACAATAGATATTGATCACTTTGATAAATGACAAATCCTTAGTGAGCAAAACCCATTAATATTCGATACTAGTGATTCGTGAATAACAAATTGAATTTTGAAGGGAGTGAGTGAGTGAGTAAATTTAGTTTTACGCCGCACTCAGCAATATTCCAGATATATGGCGGCGGTCTGTAAGTAATCGAGTCTGGGCCAGACAATCCAGTGATCAACAGCATGAGCATCGATCTGCGCAATTGGGAACCGATGACATGTGTCATCCAAGTCAGCGAGCCTGACCACCCGATCCCGTTAGTCGCCTCTTACGACAAACATGCGTTACTGAAGATCAATATTCTAACCCGGATCTTCACGGGTAATGTTTGAAGGGATATGCAAGAGAATCGTAACATACCTTTCAGACATGTGTACCAAATTGTGTGTTTATCCAGGCAGACAACACTCTTGTGTGCATTATCAGTGTCTTAAACTAATGCAAGAATCCTTCTTTGTTTCAGGTTTGTTGGAAAATGCCTCGGCTGGAACTAGAGAACAAATGGAAGAGAACGACAGCACTCGAGTGTTTGATAAGCCAATGCCTGTCATCTACGCCATAACGCCTACGTACTATCGCGGTGTGCAGAAAGCTGAATTGACCAGGTTGTCGCAGACTTTTCTTCACTTGCCAAGTTTTCATTGGATAGTGATAGAAGATTCATCATTAAAAACAAAACTGGTCACCAACGTCTTGAGCCAGTCTGGGGTTATCCTACACACACTTAAACTTTCTCACAGAACGGAGAGATAGCAAGAGGTTAAAAACTAAAGGTGTATCACAGAGAAATGTGGGGTTGTCATGGTTACGAAAACCCAGGATCCTGAAATACAGCCTGGTGTTGTGTATTTTGCTGATGATGACAATACGTATGATCTGGAAGATATTTGCACAGGTATGCAATGGAGGGTATAGAGTGGACTTCGATTTCAGTGTGATCAGGTTTACAGTCCTTAGTAGGAGTTGTAGACTAATGCCTTGTCTATATACATGTATATATTTATTATTATTTTTTAAAATTTATTTTTATTTATTTTGTGTGTGATTGAAACAAATAATTCCATTTGAATTGAAAAGGAGCCCCAGTGAGATGGAGATTTAGAATCAGGAAATCTAGACTTGCTTCTTTCTAGCATTGGCTAAAATAATGTGGTTCAGAAACTGTGACTGTGAGATAAACAGACAGACTATAGGAGTTGTTACATGTGAATTTGCTTAGTTTGTTGTAGAAACATGTATCTTCACGATTGCACATTATGTTCAATCCTATTTGGGCATCTTCATTATTTACAAATAAGTATTAACAGTTTTCAAAACTGGGGACTTCTTTAGAATAAGATCAGGTGTTGAAGTGGGACAATATTACAGATGGTCAGAATCAAGGGGTTTGGGAGTGGGAATTTATGAGAGATGGGGTATGCATGTTTCATTGGTATTTAGGACTGTATAATATTTGGCCGGCACACAACCTAGAGGGTGTAGTGTGTACTTCAGTTTCAGAAATCAATTTTATCAGGTTTACTGTCCTAAGTAGGAGTTGCAGACTAATGCCTTGTCTCTGAATATATATATACACGTATATAGTTTTGATTGAAACAAATAGTTCCATTCAAATTGAAAAGAAGCCCCAACGAGATGGGTCATTCAGAACTTGAGGAAACCTAGACTTGCTGATTTTAGGGCGTTTGCATTGCAGAAAGGGCAATCCGGAAATGAAAATAATAGGTTCAGGGACTGTGAGACAGAGTATAGAAGTTACATGGTACATGCGAATTTGCTCAGTTTGTTGTAGAACAATGAATCCTTACAATAGCACATTGTTATCCATCCCCTCATTATTACTTATACAAGTATTGATGTTCTTTGAATTTCTATATGGGCTATTTAAAGAATAGGATCAGGTGTTGAAGTAAGACAACAAGTAAATATTATTACACATGGTCAGAGTGAGTGTATATGGTTTTACGCTTTTAGTAATATTCCAGCAATATCACGGCGGGGGACAAGAAATGGGCTTCACACATTGTACCCATGTAGGGAATCGAACCCGGGTCTTCGGCGTGAGGAGCGAGCGCTTTAACCTTTAGGCTACCCACGGGATGGCCTAAAACTCGGGCCGGGACGGGCCAAGGCGGGCCAACTATATTATTGGCTAATAAATCCATTATCGAAAACCATGCCCACAATTAATTAATCCAACATACACCCATGACAATTAGACTAACAACTAGTCTCTGAAATGAACATATTTTACTGAAAAAAATTCAGAGTAAAAAAATAAATATATATACTGAAAAGGAGCCCTGAGACTTTCTTCATTTTCAGAAGCTGAGGAAATCTAGACTTGCCACATTTTTAGACTGCCTCTCGACTGGATTTTTGAAATCAGTGAAACATATTCTGACAAGATTAAAACTGCTATGAAAATGGTTAGTTATGTTTAAGTTGAGTTTGCAAACGATTTAATGATTACAATAGTTTAAATAAAGCAGTGAAAGTCGGTAAAATAAATGTGTACATAATGAACTCACAAACAGCTAATCGAATGGCTTTCGAACTCCGGGCACTGCATAAGTCATATTATGACGTCATAACATTGTTACGATACAGCTTCTCGGCGGAGAGTTTGGCGGTTATCGTGGCAGCGGGTAATATTTTTTTGAGTTGCCAGCCTCCTGGGAGGGGTGACACGGAAACTTGTTAACGCGTCATTGACCAATGAACTTAAAGTATTTTACATGAAGGTAATATAATGACATTTATGGTACTAGTTATTATGGCAGTAAACCACCTCACTCTCATGGAAATTGGAAAAAGATCATCAAATGTTCCAGTTTTATTTTTAGCAAAGATTCCATGTTCCAGATTTGATTGGTACTATGTTAATTTGTTATGTAGAGTCAAGTCAAAAAGGTTTATTGTACAGAAGGCCTCTGGCCCATATACAAGAGAGTATGTATCTTACTGTTACACACAGGAAGTAACACGTTCTTTAAACAGTTCATTTCTGTTAACTAGTGCATGTTTAATATATAGTGAAAGGTTTAATATATGGGATTCGTTCTTAGTCGTTAAAATATACACGAAAGCTTGCAATGGCGGCATCCCTATCAAATAATCTTTCATATATTTCTTTCTAAGGTCACTATTAAAATGGACAGACGAACACAAAGTGAATTCCATTTCCATTTCTATATCGCATAACTGACAGACTCTTTTCGATTTTGCAATGGAATGTTTTCTTCCTTCATTTACAAAAAGGTCTAACAAACCTAGCCGATATTTAATAAATGTTTCCTTAAATTTTCCGTCGTGAGTATTGATAAATAAATTTCTGGTTGAAGAAAGGTCTTGAAAGTTCTATAATAAGCATATCGTGAACTATCTTCTTAACTGGAATGCCATTCCTGGTAAAACATATTAACAGACCGAGTTCTAAATTCTTTAAGAAACACGTCTACACTTCCAACTGACTGACATAACCATATGAAACCATAACCATGGGAAAATAGAAGATTCATTATATGCGATACCTATGTAATTTTCCCCATGTTATCTAAATGTAAAATCATGTTTTAGCTACTTTGGGGAGACGTTGCTCGTGCATATGAAGAAGTTTAAACCAATATTTTAAACATCTAATTTTCGAATTAATATATAATGGGTATCTACCACATTCACCATATACCATGCCATTTAATGTAGAGGATCCAACACAAAGAATTTTTTTACATGCTAATAAGTGGACCTTCTCCAAATATTCATACGGCTGAAATCCCCATACTTCCAAGCCATATTATAACATTGGTTGTATCTGGGTATCAAAGAGCTTAAAGAATATATTAGGTGACATGGTTCCAACTTTGTGGACAATAGACTTTACACTTATTAAAACTTTCTTTGCACGCAATGATAAATCTTTGGTACATTTTTTCAAGTTCATTGTGTGTGAAAACCAGATTCCTAAACATGAATAATGATCCACTACATTGACTAACTGACCATCAAATAACCATCTTTCTTTCAGCTCTATTGGACCACCTTTTCTGAAGATCACAATTTTAGTTTTATCTAGATTCACTGATAATTTGCATTGTTTTGTGTATGCATCTAGAATATTTGGTTGTCTTTGAGACCGACCACAGTATCTGACACTAAAATGACATCGTCTGCAAAAGTAACATCAAAACTTCTATTAGGTCTGGAAACATTTTGATACCATGTTTACCATTTGAAGCTATTTCAATATATAATTCATAATGAAAAGTGAAAATAAGACAGGACTCAGAATAAAGCCTTGTCTTAAACCCAAAGGACAATCAAAGAAATCTGTTTCACCCTCCCTGCTACGAACACATGACCTCACATTACAATATATTGCTTTTATAATAGCAAACATTTTCCCCGTAGTCCAGCTTTCCGAAGACATTTCCATAGTTTAGGGCGGTCAACTGAATCAAAAGCTTTTTGAAATCTACAAATGCTACAAACAATTAATGCTTTCGTCGTGACAAAGTCTTTTGGATAGGTGCATAAATTATTAAATATGTGATCTGATGTGGAATAATTCTTTCTAAAGCCAGCTTGAAATTCAGGAATTTTATCGCGCGTGTTCGCCCATTTAGAAATTCTATTATTTAGTATTGTTGTAAACACTTTTCCAAGAATGCTCATCAAATAAAACACCCCTGTAGTTGTCTGGGTCACCCGGTCACCTGTTTTATGCAGTGGAATTATTATAGAACATGACCAGCTGTTTGGGAAAATACCTTTTTCAAATAGCTTATTAAAGCATTTGTATAGAAAAGGCATAACTACAAACCTGGAACACTTCAACATTTCAATAATTATATCATCTGGGCCTGCTGCTTTTCCCTTTTTAGGTGATCTATTGCACAAAATATTTCACTTTCAACAATGGGTGAATTTAGCACTAGTTCATCAACATCAGTATAGCATTCAGTAAAATCATTTTGCATGTCATCAATTTCCATGTCTAATATTGTTTCATTTGAAAAAACCTTCTTAAAATGTTTACGCCTACGCAAATCCACTTTGAATTTCCGACAACAATTCTTATATTTATTCCTACTTTCACAATATTTCTTTCGGTCAAGACTAGCACGAGTTATTCTAAATCTTCGTAGTGCCTTGCGGGCGTTCCGTCTTGCAGTTCTGCATTCAGCATTAAGTGAGGTCTTTTAATTTATGTTATATTTTAATTCTTTTTCTCATACAAGATGATGAATCCAGCATTATTTGAACAAAATCATCAATTGCCCCTCAATGTTATTATCAAGTTTATCGAAGAGTAGATGTGTAATAGACCTTATACTTTTATGAAGCTTACTCAGATAATTGTCAGATAATTCGTCATTCCATATAAATTTCATTTTAGTGACGTCCTCAGGTGTTACCTTGTGAATTGTTTGATTCATATTGGGGAATCTACAAGTCAGTTCTAGAGGTAAGATTCCAGACGACTGCCAATGTTCAGCATGTCCATATAATCAAAGAAATCGGGAGAACATATAAAGTAATCATTAACGCTGGTACCTTGATTTCCACAATAGGGCAATTCTCCCAGGGTATCTCCATACACTCTCCCATTGACAATGAACAGCAGGAATGTATACATCATATCTAACAGCAACTGGCCAAATTAATTAGTAATAGTATCATGAGATTTCCGATCTCCAACAGATATGTTTTCATCTTCAGGAAATACACAACTACTATGAACAACATTGTTTTGTAAATCGGCGAGAGGATTATTCAATTCACCTGTACGAGCATTCATATCTACACAACATACACTAATAGAATCCTAAACTTCGACTGATTATCTAACAAAAGCTCTTCAAGCTGTTCAATACTAAAGTCTGAGCTCACGTGGTTATAATACGACGAGTCAGCTGGTGGTATGTATGTACATTGCAAGTTTACACTTTTATCAGTTTTAAGTAACACTTTTGATATTTTGAGGTTCACAGGAGGTTATGAACCTCTGATTCAATCATCTTACAAAATTTGCTTACTGATTGATAGACACATACACACACAACACCTGAGAGCCTGCCGTAGTCAGATAACTTTATTGCTGGGCTGTAATAGATGTCATAATCAACTAACCAGTCGTTGCCAAATCCGCAGTCGACAAAAGTTTCCACAAGACAGATTATTTGAAATTGTTTTAAGTACGATATAAAATCATCGTCAACAATTTTGTTTAGTTGTCCGTTAATTTTCAACAGAGGAAAGCGAATGTTTCGCCGGGACAGTCAGCGTTTACTGTAGCACCGGTGTTAACCGTGTTATGTCCTTGTGGGGTAATATCCGGGCCACGTCCAGTTCCCTAGCTTGCAGACACGTTTGCAGATGATTTTCCGAGCGATCTTCTTGGTAATGATCGTCTGTCTCCTGAAGTTTCTGTAGTGCCAGCCATCGCCGAAGTTGGTGTTGTTTCTACTGTGCGAGGCTTTGTTATCAACCGTCCATCCTTGAAATACCCAAGCTTGTTGGTCCCCTTAAGCGCCTGACGTTGACGTTGACGTGACGTAAGATCACTGGAAATTCCAAGTCCTCCTTTCTTGAATGTGGGTCTCGCTTTCAAGGCACGAACTTTGTCGTCAGATATACGTAGCTTAGCAATCACTGGGCGAGGTCGTGTTGCATTTTCAATTTTAACGCCAAGCCTGTGAGCCCGTATGATGTCCAACGACTGCCCCGTTTTTGAATTTAGCATGTTTATTGAGGACAGATAGCACAGTGTCTTTACACGCCATTGATTTTTCATCACCTACCGCTTCAGGGATACCGTGGATGAGAATATTGTTACGTCTGCTATATGACTCAAGTCTGTCCAGTTCATCATCAACTCTTGAAATGTGATCAAACAGAGCGTCGACCTTGCCGGAGAGTGCGTCGATGTCCTCATACATGATATCATGGTTTTGTTTCATGGTGTTTATATCACTATGAAGTTCTGCAATAGAACATTACAGTTTTTCACACTTAGAATTGACATTGTATACATCGTTCTTTAGCTCTGAAATTTGAGTGCTTAAATCTGATTTAGCGTTGCGTATTTCAGATTTCATGTCCCCAATTTCTGTAAGTATTGTTGCCTGTACGTCTTCAAGAGATGTCGGTCCGAGTTTGTGTCTATATCGTTAGAGCACAGTAAGAGCTGTGTTATGACCCTCACGGGAAGCCCGTCGCCCCCAAGGAAACATTTTCCTCGTGCATGTGAGGCAAAGTTGGATGACAAAACTGGGTCACAACACGAGTTGGTGACGTCACATGAAACACAAAGGAATGTACTTTCTTTTGGCACAAAGTGATCAAATTCAAAATGCAAAAGTACACATTGATTACTGATGAGTAAAGCTGACAGCGATAGGTGTACAGTGAGCAGCAAAGTGCGTAGAATAATGCGATGCGGCATATTGGAGCTGTACTCACATGTTGTGTATGGCGTGTACCTGTCAATGTGGCTGACTTGGCGGGTGCCGGCCGGGTGACAAAAAGTCCCGATTATTGCCCTGTATGTTGCTAGATCCTCCATTGTATGCTCAGAACGTATACACAGAGTGTTCACTCATCACCACATACCATTTAGAGGTTAGTAGTTTCCTTTCATGTTGATATTTAATACAAATTTAGGGAGATTACAGGAATGTTGTCGTGTACTTCGAAGGGACGTATTTGTTTTGTTAAAATTTGTGTTCCAGATGCGAGAAACGAAACAGGTCTCTGTGTGGCCCGTTGGTTTTGCTGGGGGTCTCAGATTTGAAAGACCTATTGTCAAAAATGGAAAGGTAGGTGCTTTGTTTTGTGAATATCTCCACGTGATCTTTGCCATGGTTTTGTTGGTTCACTCTTACTTTTCGACTTTAGACAACAACCACTGAAGATGTCATGAATCTTTATGATGGGGTGTTTATGTTTTCATATCTTTGTTAGTGGCAGAAATATTTCGATATCACTGCTTCTAGACATGGGCCTTTTTCTTGACCCACAATGCATTTTTAGCTCACCTGACTGAAAGTGTGGCGGTGTGCGTATACTTGTGCATAGACCAGATGATCTGGTGATTAATATCACGAGCATCAATCTACGCAACTGGGATATCATCACCCACGCAAGCAACCCTGACCACCCAGTAACAGCCTCCTAACAATCATAGTCTCCTCTCATGACAGGCATAAGTTGGTGAACACTATTTCTAATGTGGATCTTCACAGGTTATTACAAAAATAGACTGCACAGAAACAGCTGCTGGTAAGACTACAGAATACCGGATACCTTGCGCCATCTTTGAAAGCACGCGAGTTTACTTAGGGTTAGGGTTAGGGTTAGGGTTAGGGTAAGGTTTAGGGTTAGAGTTAGGGTTAGGGTAAGGTTTAGGGTCTGTCCAGTTAGGGTTAGGGTGACGTGACACTAAACAATATGGCTGGTATGTATCCGGTATTCTGTAGGTGTACCCGGCTGTTTACATCAAGCTAACCTGCGTCTGACTTGTGTGTTGTAGGTGACTGGTTGGTTTGCGCACTGGGAGCCGGATCGACCGTTTGCTATTGACATGGCTGGATTTGCTGTCAACCTCCAACTTTTCTACAAGCACCCAGAGTTGAAGTTCTCCAACAATACGCTGCCAGGTTTTCTGGAATCCACTTTCGTCTCAGACACAAAGGTCTCTTTGGACGATCTGGAACCTCTTGCTGATAACTGCACAAAGGTGGGTTCTTATCTTACCAAGTACCATGTATGACTACAGAGAGCTTTGAAGACTAAGTAGGAAAAAAACAACTACCGTATGTCATATTGATTATGGTGAACGAACATGAAGAAACAACCTTGTTAATGAACTGTAGAATTTGTGATTAAATATCACTTTACATGATAATTTACCATTTCAGTTGTATATATTAATGTACACGTATTTGTTTCATAAACTGAACCGGGAATGGCAATCAGTTATACACACTCGGCCGGCCACACCAAAAAATTGGTATTGAGTTTTGTTTGCTGAGTCAAAAGATGGGTTTGTTTATAGTCCGTTTAGCTCAAAAGGGGACCAATGAATTGTAATTTAACTCGAAAACTAATAAACATATAATACTCAATGAAACGCTGATCATAACGAAAACATCAGACCAACCCTGTGATATTTTCGCAGAATTTATGTCCTAAACATAAAAAAGGTTGTTTAAAAAACAAACTATCGTTAAAACTTTGGCACAGTTCGCTGATGGTTACGAGGGAGGAGTGCAAATATAGGACAGGCAGGTGTACGAGAAGCACGTGCACAAGTGCAGACAAAGTTTTTGATTAATTTACGTCTCCTTTGCCGATTCCATCCTTTCTCGCACTGATCATCATGATATTGACATCTTCAGTGTAGTGTCAGTCTACTGAGCATGCTGATATTTACATCTTAGTATAGTGTCGGTCTACTGATCATGCTGATATTGGCATCTTCAGTGTAGTGTCAGTCTACTGATCATGATGATATTGGCATCTTCAGTGTAGTGTCAGTCTACTGATCATGATGATGATCTATGTGTGTCAGTCTCGATCATCAGCATCTAAATGTAGTGTCAGTCTACTGATGCTGATAATGGCATCTTTAGCGTAGTGTATCTGCTTGTTGCTGATATTCATCCTCAGTGTAGTGTCGGTGTGCTGATATTGGCATCTTCAGTGTAGTGTCAGTCTACTGATCATGCTGATATTGGCATCTTAGTATAGTGTCGGTCTACTGATCATGCTGATATTGGCATCTTTCAGTGTCAGTCTACTGATATGATATTGGCATCTTCAGTGTAGTGTCAGTCTACTGATGATATTGGCATCTTCAGTGTAGTGTCAGTCTACTGATCATGATGATATTGGCATCTTCAGTGTAGTGTCAGTCTACTGATCATGATGATATTGGCATCTTCTTAGTGTAGTGTCAGTCTACCGATCATGGTCAGTGTACCGATCATGATGATATTGGCATCTTCAGTGTAGTGTCAGTCTACTGATCATGATGATATTGGCATCTTCAGTGTAGTGTCAGTCTACTGATCATGATGATATTGGCGTCTTAGTGCAGTGTCAGTCTACCGATCATGATGATATTGGCATCTTCAGTGTAGTGTCAGTCTACCGATCATGATGATATTGGCATCTTCACTGTAGTGTCAGTCTACCGATCATGATGATATTGGCATCTTCACTGTAGTGTCAGTCTACCGATCATGATGATATTGGCATCCTCAGTGTAGTGCCAGTCTACCGATCATGATGATATTGGCATCTTCAGTGTACTGTCAGTCTACCGATCATGCTGATATTGACATCTTAGTATAGTGTCAGTCTACTGATCATGCTGACATTGGCATCTTCAGTGTAGTGTCAGTCTACTGGTCATGATGATATTGGCATCTTCAGTGTAGTGTCAGTCTACTGATCATGATGATATTGGCATCTTCAGTGTAGTGTCAGTCTACTGATCATGATGATATTGGCATCTTAGTGCAGTGTCAGTCTACCGATCATGATGATATTGGCATCTTCAGTGTAGTGTCAGTCTACCGATCATGATGATATTGGCATCTTCAGTGTAGTGTCAGTCTACTGATCATGATGATATTGGCATCTCAGTGTAGTGTCAGTCTACTGATGATGCTGATATTGGTCTCTTCACTGTAGTGTCAGTCTACTGATGATGCTGATATTGGCATCTTCAGTGTAGTGTCAGTCTACTGATCATGCTGATATTGGCATCTTCAGTGTAGTGTCAGTCTACTGATGATGCTGATATTGGTATCTTCACTGTAGTGTCAGTCTACTGATGATGCTGATATTGGTATCTTCACTGTAGTGTCAGTCTACTGATGATGCTGATATTGGCATCTTCAGTGTAGTGTCAGTCTACTGATGATGCTGATATTGGTATCTCCACTGTAGTGTCAGTCTACTGATGATGATGATATTGGTATCTCCACTGTAGTGTCAGTCTACTGATGATGCTGATATTGGCATCTTCAGTGTAGTGTCAGTCTACTGATCATGATGATATTGGTATCTTCAGTGTAGTGTCAGTCTACTGATCATGATGATATTGGTATCTTCAGTGTAGTGTCAGTCTACTGATCATGATGATATTGGCATCTTTAGTGTAGTGTCAGTCTACTGATCATGCTGATATTGGAATCTCAGTGTAGTGTCAGTCTACTGATCATGATGATATTGGTATCTTCAGTGTAGTGTCAGTCTACTGATCATGATGATATTGGCATCTTTAGTGTAGTGTCAGTCTACTGATCATGATGATATTGGAATCTCAGTGTAGTGTCAGTCTACTGATCATGATGATATTGGTATCTTCAGTGTAGTGTCAGTCTACTGATCATGATGATATTAATCTTTAGTGTAGTGTCAGTCTACTGATCATGATGATATTGGAATCTCAGTGTAGTGTCAGTCTACTGATCATGCTGATATTGGTATCTTCAGTGTAGTGTCAGTCTACTGATCATGATGATATTGGCATCTTTCAGTGTAGTGTCAGTCTACTGATGATGCTGATATTGGAATCTCAGTGTAGTGTCAGTCTACTGATCATGATGATATTGGTATCTCCACTGTAGTGTCAGTCTACTGATCATGATGATATTGGTATCTTCAGTGTAGTGTCAGTCTACTGATCATGATGATATTGGCATCTTTAGTGTAGTGTCAGTCTACTGATCATGCTGATATTGGAATCTCAGTGTAGTGTCAGTCTACTGATCATGATGATATTGGTATCTTCAGTGTAGTGTCAGTCTACTGATCATGATGATATTGGCATCTTTCAGTGTAGTGTCAGTCTACTGATCATGATGATATTGGAATCTTCAGTGTAGTGTCAGTCTACTGATCATGCTGATATTGGTATCTTCACTGTAGTGTCAGTCTACTGATGATGCTGATATTGGCATCTTCAGTGTAGTGTCAGTCTACTGATGATGCTGATATTGGTATCTTCAGTGTAGTGTCAGTCTACTGATGATGCTGATATTGGTATCTTCAGTGTAGTGTCAGTCTACTGATGATGCTGATATTGGTATCTCCACTGTAGTGTCAGTCTACTGATGATGATGATATTGGTATCTTCAGTGTAGTGTCAGTCTACTGATGATGCTGATATTGGCATCTTCACTGTAGTGTCAGTCTACTGATGATGCTGATATTGGTATCTTCAGTGTAGTGTCAGTCTACTGATCATGATGATATTGGCATCTTTAGTGTAGTGTCAGTCTACTGATCATGCTGATATTGGAATCTCAGTGTAGTGTCAGATCTACTGATCATGATGATATTGGTATCTTCAGTGTAGTGTCAGTCTACTGATCATGATGATATTGGCATCTTCAGTGTAGTGTCAGTCTACTGATCATGATGATATTGGCATCTTCAGTGTAGTGTCAGTCTACTGATCATGATGATATTGATCAGTGTAGTGTCGATCTACTGATCATGATGATATTGGCATCTTAGTGTAGTGTCAGTCTACCGATCATGATGATATTGGCATCTTCAGTGTAGTGTCAGTCTACCGATCATGATGATATTGGCATCTTCAGTGTAGTGTCAGTCTACTGATCATGATGATATTGGCATCTCAGTGTAGTGTCAGTCTACTGATGATGATGATATTGGCATCTCTTCAGTGTAGTGTCAGTCTACTGATGATGCTGATATTGGCATCTTCAGTGTAGTGTCAGTCTACTGATCATGCTGATATTGGCATCTTCACTGTAGTGTCAGTCTACTGATGATGCTGATATTGGCATCTTCACTGTAGTGTCAGTCTACTGATGATGCTGATATTGGTATCTTCAGTGTAGTGTCAGTCTACTGATGATGCTGATATTGGTATCTCCACTGTAGTGTCAGTCTACTGATGATGCTGATATTGGTATCTTCAGTGTAGTGTCGTCTGCTGATCATGCTGATATTGGTATCTCCAGTGTGTAGTGTCAGTCTACTGATGATGCTGATATTGGTATCTTCAGTGTAGTGTCAGTCTACTGATCATGATGATATTGGCATCTTTAGTGTAGTGTCAGTCTACTGATCATGCTGATATTGGCATCTTCAGTGTAGTGTCAGTCTACTGATCATGCTGATATTGTACTTCTTAGTGTAGTGTCAGTCTACTGATCATGATGATATTGGCATCTTAGTGTAGTGTCAGTCTGCTAATGATGCTGATATTGGCATCTTCAGTGTAGTGTCAGTCTACTAGTCATGCTGATATTGGCATCTTAGTGTAGTGTCAGTCTACTGATCATGATGATATTGGCATCTTTAGTGTAGTGTCAGTCTACCGATCATGATGATATTGGCATCTTCACTGTAGTGTCAGTCTACCGATCATGATGATATTGGCATCCTCAGTGTAGTGTCAGTCTACCGATCATGATGATATTGGCATCTTCAGTGTAGTGTCAGTCTACTGATCATGCTGATATTGACATCTTAGTATAGTGTCAGTCTACTGATCATGCTGATATTGACATCTTAGTATAGTGTCAGTCCACTAGTCATGCTGATATTGGCATCTTCACTGTAGTATCAGTCTACTGATCATGATGATATTGGCATCTTCAGTGTAGTGTCAGTCTACTGATCATGATGATATTGGAATATCAGTGTAGTGTCAGTCTACTGATCTTGATGATATTGGCATCTTCAGTGTAGTGTCAGTCTACTGATGATGCTGATATTGGCATCTTCAGTGTAGTGTCAGTCTACTGATGATGCTGATATTGGCATCTTCACTGTAGTGTCAGTCTACTGATGATGCTGATATTGGTATCTTCAGTGTAGTGTCAGTCTACTGATCATGATGATATTGGCATCTTTAGTGTAGTGTCAGTCTACTGATCATGCTGATATTGGAATCTCAGTGTAGTGTCAGTCTACTGATGATGCTGATATTTACTTCTTAGTGTAGTGTCAGTCTACTGATCATGATGATATTGGCATCTTAGTGTAGTGTCAGTCTGCTAATGATGCTGATATTGGCATCTTCAGTGTAGTGTCAGTCTACTAGTCATGCTGATATTGGCATCTTAGTGTAGTGTCAGTCTACTGATCATGATGATATTGGCATCTTTAGTGTAGTGTCAGTCTACCGATCATGATGATATTGGCATCTTCACTGTAGTGTCAGTCTACCGATCATGATGATATTGGCATCCTCAGTGTAGTGTCAGTCTACCGATCATGATGATATTGGCATCTTCAGTGTAGTGTCAGTCTACTGATCATGCTGATATTGACATCTTAGTGTAGTGTCAGTCTACTGATCATGATGATATTGGCATCTTCAGTGTAGTGTCAGTCTACTGATCATGCTGATATTGGCATCTTCTGGTGTAGTGTCAGTCTACTGATCATGATGATATTGGCATCTTAGTGTAGTATCAGTCTACTGATCATGATGATATTGGCATCTCAGTGTAGTGTCAGTCTACCGATCATGATGATATTGGCATCCTCAGTGTAGTGTCAGTCTACCGATCATGATGATATTGGCATCTTCAGTGTAGTGTCAGTCTACTGATCATGCTGATATTGACATCTTAGTATAGTGTCAGTCTACTGATCATGCTGATATTGACATCTTAGTATAGTGTCAGTCCACTAGTCATGCTGATATTGGCATCTTCACTGTAGTATCAGTCTACTGATCATGATGATATTGGCATCTCAGTGTAGTGTCAGTCTACTGATCATGATGATATTGGCATCTCAGTGTAGTGTCAGTCTACTGATCTTGATGATATTGGCATCTTCACTGTAGTGTCAGTCTACCGATCATGATGATATTGGCATCTTCAGTGTAGTGTCAGTCTTCCGATCATGATGATATTGGCATCTTCAGTGTAGTGTCAGTCTACCGATCATAATGATATTGGCATCTTCAGTGTAGTGTCAGTCTACCGATCATGATGATATTGGCATCTCAGTGTAGTGTCAGTCTACCGATCATGATGATATTGGCATCTAAATGTAGTGTCAGTCTACTGATCATGCTGATATTGGCATCTTTAGCGTAGTGTCAATCTGCTAATGTTGCTGATATTGGCATCCTCAGTGTAGTGTCAGTCTACTGATCATGCTGATATTGGCATCTTCAGTGTAGTGTCAGTCTACTGATCATGATGATATTGGCATCTTTAGTGTAGTGTCAGTCTACTAATCATGCTGATATTGGCATCTTCACTGTAGTGTCAGTCTTCTGATCATGATGATATTGGCATCTTAGTGTAGTGTCAGTCTACTGATCATGATGATATTGGCATCTTAGTGTAGTGTCAGTCTACTGATCATGCTGATATTGGCATCTTTAGTGTAGTGTCAGTCTACTGATCATGATGATATTGGCATCTTAGCGTAGTGTCAGTCTACTGATCATGCTGATATTGGCATCTTTAGTGTAGTGTCAGTCTACTGATCATGATGATATTGGCATCTTTAGTGTAGTGTCAGTCTACTGATCATGATGATATTGGCATCTTAGCGTAGTGTCAGTCTACTGATCATGCTGATATTGGCATCTTCAGTGTAGTGTCAGTCTGCTGATCATATTGTCAACCTGGCATCTTAATGTAGTGTAAGTGGACTGATATTTATTCCCTATTTTTACAACACAGGTTCTGGTTTGGCACACGAGAACTGAGAGTCCCGATCTGACAGGTGAACGCCAGAAAAAAAGAAAACTTGGCCATGGATCTGATCCTAATGTTGAAGTATGAGAAATATTGTGTTCCTTATGATGTTATATTGTCAGTATATACGCTGCATGTTCCATGTAGAACTCCGATCACAACAAACATTTATATACTAATAAAGAGTTAAAGAACATTCTTTTCATGATATGAGTAACTATAGTCATGTTTTACTTCTGTTGGGCAATACAGATCATATTCATTACACATCAGATATTGCATTGGGCAGTCGGTGGTTTGGTAGCACAGTGGTTAAAGTGTTCACCCATCACCTCAAAGGCCGATGTTCTATTCCAGTGTGTATGGCTACAATGTGTTAGAGTCACTTTCTGGTCTACCCAGGGTAAAATTCCTGCGACCTTTACGTTACTCACTTCATAACAGTCGCTATATTGAGGCGCTAACTTGTGTGTTTATATTTTCTTATATTGCCTTTTATTTCTACCTGACATGTAGGTGGTCTCTGACAAATGTAAACATGTCCTTAAGCACAATTTTCAGAAACAATAATGTGTGCGTAAAGATGATAATTTACAGTTGTCTCTTGAGTCTTACTATTCGTGGTATGAGAACGAGAACATTTCCTCTTTATGCTTAGAATTACCATTTGTTTGTTGTTAAACAGCACACTCAGCAATATTCCTGCAGTAATACTGACCTGTAAACAATGGAGTCTGCACTAGACAAGCGAGTGATGTCTATAGTGATATCTTTTTATGATAGCGTACTAGTTTTAGATTAAGAGTTGTGATACTCTAGTAGTTTTACTGTCCTTCAAAGAAAAACTATTCTCGTCATGATATGGCTGCAATATTGCCGATGTGACGTTAAACATGAACTCACGCACTCTTTAGTACCAACTTGTTCCCATTTCAGAGATAGCATATATTCGTAGTCTTATTTTTCTGAGCGAAACCGCATAATCAGTATTTTGTGTTTCGAAGGGAGCTAACACTAGATACAGAGTGGAGGTATGCTGATTAGTTTCGTATCCGGTAACGCAATACACCGAGAAAGCAATAAACTGCAAACTTCGTTAATAACCATTAAAACTGTACAATGTAGCGAGTCATTTCCACCAATATGAATAGCAGCATTTTATGAAAACTGTAAGTGGGAAATGCACACGGTGGGGTAGGACATGTTTACTCTTTTCATGAACACTTGTGTCATCTACTACATATATATTTCCTGTACATTGTTGGAAATACGTTGACTTCCAGTCTTATTTTAGCACTGAAACAAAGGTTGGAAACTATAAGCCTTGTATACTCTCTTGCTTTAGGAGTATGAAAAACGTGTAAGAAATAATGGTTAATTAAAGCAATGTAGACATACATACTGCTACATGTTGATTCTCAAGCTGAAACTAAAGGTTAACTGGGAATCAGTCCGTAAAAGAACTCCGTGGGAAACAACAAAGAGCTGGGATTTACATGTAATCTTAAACGAACTAAGTTTACAAATTAATACAAATCACCAGAAATATATTGTGACAAAATAGGGTGGCGATACAAATTGACAGGCAGTATAATACAAAAGCAGTGGTTAAAGACAGAGATGGGAATATTCACTTCACCTGACTATGGTCAAGTTTCCATAACAGGATCATTATGCAGGGTATGAATCATCTCGACACAATGCTGGTCTTCTTGTAAGTTTAATTGTTCTGTGAGATAAGAGAGAAGAATTAACAAACACACACACACACACACCCCACACCCACACACACACCCACCCCACATTCCAACAAAAATAACACCAACAAAAACATCCATCCTCGCACACACACACCCAAATAACACAAACAAAACAAAACACACACCCAATCAAATGCAATAAATAAACAACAACAACAACAAAACAAAAACAAAAGACAAAAAGACAAAAAAAAAAAAAAATAAAAAAAAATGAAAAACAAATAAAATCTGCAAAAAGGACTCCAGGAGGTTATCCAGCACCCTTGGTCATGCTCTAGTGGAACAGTATATAGAGCTTTGGTACCTAGTAGTACCTTGCAGAACTCTGTCTGAATATAGCACAGCACTACCCTAACTGACTATTCACACATATTAAACTCTCTCCGTATGCATTAGAAATCTCAGTTGTTCTATTCGAATGTGACAATACCAAGTTCCTGGATGGAAGCCAGAGAACTGCATTTTGGGGACATCAGGAGAATGCCTAGTATTGTGACTGGTGTTTATGTGAATATTTCATTTCCCGACGTGCGTGTTGTTTGGACAGTTATATACCTCTCGTGACAAAACACACGGATACATAACAGAGAGCAGGAAAAAGTTGTCATGTCATGTTTGGTTTATTTTTATTTCAAATGTGGCTTAAAATCAATACAGCATTGCCATTGGCTTGCCTGGTAGTAGGGCTGCACGGTATTACCGGTAAACCGCAATACAAAATTGCAACTAATACGTATCGCGATACGTTTATGATGTACCGGCGTAACAGGCCAGAGTATACCCCTGTCCCAGACTATACCCGGGGTTAAACTGGGCTAGCCCAGACTATACCCCAGGTATAATCTGGGCTAGCCTAGTTTATACCCCGGGGTATATTCTGAACAAGGCCATAGTATACCCCCCTAGCCCAGATTATACCCCTACAGAAAACAAGTGATTAAGGATACTACTATAATTTTATTGTACTTTTCGGCGTTGTTGTTAGTGGGTGGGTCATTGGAGTAGATTTTGAGGTTACTCGTGTGGTATGTGTTGTTCAGGATCTTGTTGGTTTTCACATTCTGCAGCTTCACACGACCTTTGGTCAATGTCTGGATGTTGCTGGTGTGTCGTCGATCGTAGTTTTCTTTCTGGCGATCCTGTGCATTGGAGATATTGTTGGAAACAGTGAACAGATGCCTTTGTGTAGATGGATGATGGTTTCCAGCACTTCATCATTCAAACGTGTGTCAGGATCCAGGTCATAGATGTGCTGAGGATACTTCTTATCAAAGTTGGTGTAGAAGTTCAAGATCTGGGTATAGAGGTTGTCATCCATGTTGAAGGTTGAATGCGATATAGGATGCGAAATGAAATGCTCTTTTAAATACCTTTACATGACACCGAGATCAGTCTCCAGAGTCACTTGTTCATATTAATAAATAAATACCAGCCCCTACTCACACAATCACCAGCCCCTACTCACACCAGCCCCTTCTCACACCGGTTATCTCCCATTAGTTAGACAGCCAGTTGTTAGACAGTGGAGTAGGGTATTAATTAAGACAATACCCACCTCCATAATGGTACAGCTCTAATTAGATTGATGAGTAGAGTGTGCCCGTAGTTAATCTGTTCATGTTGTACTACCCCGTTTCCGAAATACATTAGTTGTGTGTGCGACGCTAAATAAAGCAAATAACAACTACTAACCTTGATATATCAGCATGGCTGGGTTACGCAAAGTCAAAAAAATCTCATCGCAGAGAGGCACTCAACAAATAATTCATAAATTTTGTATTATGCGGTAATGTAAATGAAATGCACCTACAAAATTTAAATGACACCAAGACCATTGCCCGAGTCACTAACTCATATTGAGTGAATTGTCCACATAATTTTTTAGGGGTATAGTCTGGGCTGGAGGGGTATACTTTGGCCTGGTCCAGAATATACCCCCGGGGTATAAACTGGGCTAACCTATAGTTTACCCCGGGGTATAATCTGGTGGGGGGTTATTCTGGGCTGCTACACCGGTATACAGACAAATATTGTTTTGTTCAATTTTAACTCATATAAAACTGATCTCGTTCATCCTTTTACCGAGGCTACATTGTCATTGTGAAGGACTCCAAAGGCAAGTGCCATGCTGAAGGACAAAGCTATCCTCCTGTGACTTCCGTCGAACTCGTCGGGACCAAGGGAAAAGTTTTTGACTGATCCGAGTGTTCGACACATCCGTCAGCATAGAAATGACCAAGTACCAATACCACAAAGTTCTTACAACATCGTTTTTCAACGACCGAGTTCGACACAACCGAGAATTCGTCTCAATCGAGTTCGAGACATTTGGGTTCGACTGTATATGACATATGCGCATGCATGTAATATCATGGATATTCAGTATATACTGTACACACGAAGGTACGCTGGCCTAAAAGTTAGAAATGATATTACCGAATCGAGTTATCATGTTATTATGATGGAAACCAGGATAAGCTAATTGTCTACACCTGGGACATATCTAATGCATGGCTCCAATGAAACCACTAACCCTGGCGATGTGTAATCTAGTGATACCATGAGGCCCAGAGGAGCAGTTGTATTTTGATGACATGCATGGCTCCAATGAAAACACTAACCCTGGCGATGTGTAATCTAGTGATACCATGAGGCCCAGAGGAGCAGTTGTATTTTGATGATATGCATGGAGACCATGGGACACACACTGTTCGTCTGAAAGATTGATTGAGGTTCATCTCTAATTTATGATTTTGCATTCGACTTCCAAATGAATCATAGCGAGGAATAATCGAAAATAACAACACTATACGTGTTTATGTTACCTATGAAAGTTTTATCAGTTACCTGATCACATCATCAGCAAATCAATGTTATACAGTCTCATGAAGTCTGGTCCCCATGGTCCCTAGTATGGTGATCTACCTTCAGTTGTTGGCGATCAATAGTCCATTTTAACATTGTATTGTCCAAAACTAGTTTTCTACTTTTAATGATATATGCTAGCTAATTTTAACTCATTTTGTGATAATCTAGTAATTTTACTGTCCTTCGTTGACAGGTTTTTTTATATTATATGTATGTATTATGAATTTAGAACTAGTTCTAATCACAATATGGCTGAAATATTGCCGATGTGACTTTAAATCTTAACTCACTTATGAAGTCTGGTAGAACACGTGCACCATGTGGGGTGCGTTATCTTGCTTTCCTGTATTTACACAAAGTGTAGAACAGGATCTCATCCCGGTAGCATACGCCAATCAAAATGCTATAAACAATGACGAGTGGTGTTCCCTCGTGATTTATCATATATCATGTATTCCATTAGCAGCCAATCCACAACTGAAACTTTGTGTATCACCAACGTTGCTTGAAATCCTCGACAGAAAAGTACAGACCAAGTAACACACTGCTATAACCGCGTTTTCACTGTTAATTTCTGGGTCACAAAAAATGACAGTTTAACGATACGATAAAACGTATGAGATTATCAAAATTAACTTAGATACAATTCTAGCT